GTCTTCAAATGGGCCTGGATTCTTTCCTGGAGAAACAGAAATGATTTGGGAGGTTTCATCTGGATAGTTGAGAGGTACTTGGAAGTGGGTGTTTTTCCACCCAAAACCCAAGATGACTGTGGTTCTAGTCACTTTGAGACATCAGGACCACCAAGGAGATGAAACCTCATTAATGGAGACTGGGAGCATGTCACATTCAGACTCATTACCAATTCCGGTTCAGTGTTTTTAGTAATTAGAGATCTCAATTATAAGCAAGCTTTACTGGTATTTGTGAACTGATTAGTGGTACTGCGCATAACAGGGCACCAAAGTCACATGGGGGTGAATCAATAAACCTGTTTTGTAGAAGGTTTAACAAACAAAGTGATACAAATCCCAGAAGCCACCAGGGTTTCAATATGGGCTGGGATTTCAGCCCTGAAGCCCTGGGGACTGCACTGGTTGGGCAGAGCTGGTCTAAGCACAAGGGCAAACCCCATGAGATGCCGGGAGGCCATACGTCTGGTTTGAAGCTGCGCAGTCCCAGTGTTGTGGAGCACTATCCCTGTCCGGTAGGGACCCAGCACTGGACGTGGCTTTCTCTGGTGCAAAAGGGAGAGGAGGAGACTGAAGATGCAGGAGGGTACACCGGTGGGGGCGGGGGTGACACCTTCATACAGAATGATGCAGGTGGGTGGCACACTGAAAAAAGCAGTGGTGGGGCCCACACAGGGTGACTGATACTGGTGAGGACGGGCCCATGCAGGCAGGCGTGGGCATGTCCGATGTTCTGGGGATGCCTCAGTGACCACCCTAATTAGACATGATCCAGATTTGTATAAAGAACGGGTTGGGGTTTGCCCTACTACTGTCCTAAAGCCTTTCCGTGGAAATGCCCCCTGGGCAGATGCCCCACAGTTCCATTCCCTGGTAAAGATCCCGGAAGCAGTGCATTCTGGGAGATTTCAAAAGGCTGCAGGTGGGACTAATGGAACCACTTTGGCTGGTCCTTGCCCACGTACACAATGGAACAGGTCAGATTGGCACCGGTCAGCTCCAGCCTGTGGTTGGTTTTGCTACAACCCAGTCTAATCCCAGTGGTACTTGGCATGGACCTGAGCTGTCTGTAGCCCTTTTGTGTGCGGACTGAAGGTGCTCAGGGTCCCACACACTGTTAAGCCCAGTGATCTCCTCTACTGCAGGCCGGCAGCATCTGAGTTTAATCCCCCATGGAGCAACACGGGAGTTCAGAATCGCCGTGAGAAACCTCCTCTCCCTGCTGGGCCTGGGACTTTTATCAACGTGTCTCTCCCTCCTAACGTACACACTTCATCACTGGGTGGGGCTGATACTCAGATGTCAGCATGGCAAAGTGTTTCGGGTCTTAGACTGGGTCTGGGGAGATCTGGGTTCTATGCTAAGCTCTGTCACTGACATGCTGGGTGACTGTGGGGAACTAGCCGCCCTGTTTTATGCCTCAGTTTCCCTTCCCATCTTTTATCTAGCTAGACCAGTGGTCACCTACCAGTCGATTGCGATCTACTAGTCGATCCTGGAGATTCTCCCAGTCGATCGCGATCTCCGGCGGTGCAGCAGGGTTGCCCGCTGCTGCTAAGGCAGGCTCCCTGCCTGCCCCAGCCGTACGGCAGTCCCAGAAGTAGCCAGCATGCCCCCTCAGCCTGGAGTGGGGGTAGGGTTCTCTTCACGTTGCTCCTGCCTGGAAGCACCGCCCCCGCAGCTCCCATTGGCCGGAAATTGGGAACTGTGGCCAGTGGGAGCTGCGGGAGTGGTTCCTGCAGAGAGGGGCAGTGCGCAGAGCCACATGCCCACCACAGGGGCTCATTGGCCCCTTCCAGGAGTGGCGTAGGGTTGGGACAGGCAGGGAGCCTGCCTTAGCACCGCTGCACTGCCGCCCGTGACCTGCCCGAGGTAAGTCAGTGCCGCCCAGCTGGAGCCAGCATCCCATACCCCCTCCTGCACTCTAACCCGCTGCCCCAGCCCTGACCCTCCTCCCAGAGCCAGCACCCTGTACCCTTTTCTGCACCCCAACACTCTGCCCCAGCCCGGAGCCCCCTCCTGCACCCCAACCCCCTGCCCCAGGCTCAGCCCAGAGCCCCCTCCCACACTGCAAATCCCACGGCCCCAGCCCAGAGCCCACACCCCACCTGAATCCCAACCTTCTGCCCCAGACTGGTGAAAGTGAGTGAGGGTGGGGGAGAGCAAGCAAAGGAGAGGGGGTATGGAGTGAGCAGGGCTTCTGGGGGGGTGTAGATCCTGCTTTCAAGATTTGATATTTTGCCTCTATTGCTACATTGCCAGATCATTAATTTTCTTAAAGCATCTCCCTTACAATGAAGACTTTACAGAGCTGAGTGATCGGTCACACCCATGACAGGCAACTTTCAGTGAAATTAGCCTGTAATTAAAACCCAAAAGTTAACCCATTACATTTGACAGCAATTCCCTACCTTGTACTCTTGGGCAGCCTCCTCTATGGGAACCACCATGTGAGTGCGGTGAGCCCGGGATCTGTCACACACCACACAGATGGGGGTTTGATCCTCTTCACAGAACAGTTTCAGAGCCTCCTGGTGTCTCTCACACACCCCATCCCCTCCTGCTCCTTTTGCTGCCTGTAAACTCAGCCGCTTGGCGATTTCTAGGACATTTGCCAGCTGCCTGTTGGGCCTGAGGTTTCTCTGCTGCACAGTTTCTCTGCACTGAGGGCAGGAGGGGGCTGTATCGGATCCCTCCCAGCACTGGCTGATGCAGGCTCGGCAGAAATTGTGCCCACACTCCAGAGTGACAGGTTCTGTGAAATACTCCAGACAGACGGGACATTTCGCTTCCTCCTGGAGACTTTCCACAGGGTTCGTTGCAGCCATGACACCCTCTGGGCAGTTTGTAATAGGCTTTTTTTCAATTTCCTGAATTCACACTATGCCCCGCCTGCAGCAGCAAGGGGGTGTTTCCTTGCCTGAAAGTGACTCCTGCTGTTTGCTGAGCAGGAAGGACCCAGCCAATTTCACCCCTGGAGGCTTTAATGAAAAAATGTGCAGTCACACCTGTGACAGGTAACTTTCAGTGAAATTAGCCTGTAATTAAAACCCAAAGGGCTCCTTGCCTGCAATCAGCCCCTGTGCTGGTGTGGAGGGTCACTGAGGCATCCTCCTGTGAGGATGAGCCTGCAGGAGTTGTGTGTTTAAGGCGGAATAGTCAGGCTTTGCAGAATTTTTTTTATAATATATAATTTTCACAGATAATGTTTATTTTAAGCAATTTTTATATTTATTGATTAAAACTTTCACAGTTGCACAACAATCTGGGTTTTAAGCATTTCATTCCAATTAAAATTTTCATGGTTGTGGGAAATTATGGGGGATCAGCCAATATTTTGGTCAGACCAGAACTGCACCGCTACCTCGATATAACGCCACTGGATATAACACGAATTTGGATATAATGCGGTAAAGCAGTGTTCGGGGGGAGGGGGGGGGAGGGCTGCGCACTCCAGTGGATCAAAGCATGTTCAATATAACACGGTTTCACCTATAACGCGGCAAGATTTTTTGGCTCCCAAGGAAAGTGTTATATCGGGGTAGAGGTGTATTTAAGGACACTAGACACTGAGATTCAAAAAGCTGAAGCTTTAGAACTGTTAAAATTGTCTGTGAGCAGGTAAATCTCCTCCCTCCCCCAGCAGCACCCCCAGGGCAATGACCCAGTGCCTCCCCCACCACCACAGGGACAGAGGCTGAAAGTCCATCTGATGGCATCTCAGGGGCCTGTGGAATGTGCTGGGATCTCAGCCTGGGCCCTAGTTGGGCAGGTGCCCCTGTAACACAACCACACCCAGCAAGGCCTGCACCCATTTTCTCCCTGTTTGTCAGTCCCAGCAGAGAGACCAGGGACTGCAGGGAGACCAAGCTCCTGTCCCCCAGGTGAGGGCTGGGGCCCAATGGCCAAGGGCAGCGGGGGTGCGGGGAGCTCGCACTAGGGGCTACAGGGCACATGGTGTGGGATAAACAGAGACCTCTCAGGCCACTTGCCCATTGC